CTGTCAGCCTTGTGTAGGATGGCTGTGAAAGACCTGAGACAGACGTGTCACTCATTCACTTCATAACCAGAAAGGCAGCAATAGCTATTATTGTGTTTGCTAATAACTCACAGCTCATGCAAGGCTGGAGACCAGCTCCCCACACTCAGGAAGGGATGTGCCACATGGTTTAGCTCAGTGCTTTGAGACATTCCCCCTCCTCCCCCCTCCAAAGTGGAGCACCTGGAGCTCAGCTGCCAGTACAACAGTGGTTGCAGAAACCAGGCCTCTGCAATGACTCGGACACTGACACTGACTTTGGAAATGGCACACAAAATAAATGTGTTACCACAAGGCCACCTGAAAGTGATGGAAGTCTGACTGAGGTAGGACCAGCTCTGTTTGCAGAGTAAGGAAATTGCCTATGGTGCAGGTAAGAGGACTCCCAAGGAGCATCTCCTCTGTCCTGCTGAAAACACAGGGCAGCTTCACGGTGATGCTCTTCTGCCTCACAAGTGACATGGACCCTGCTGACACTCAGCAGCTGCAGTGTCACATCGCAATGCAGAGAGAGGTCCAGGCCAGTGGAGAGGCCACCACAGCTGCAGTTAAACAGCTATATAATATAAACTCCTACATGCACACAAAAGTTGTTTTCTCCCTGAGTTTTGTTTTCAGTAACTGGCTACTCGGAGCCCAGGGTGAAGGGCACACAGGTCAGCTACAACAGGTACACAGGGAAAAGTAGTCAGGATGTTTTGCTCCTACCATTGCGAAGGAGATCTCTGAGACATAAAATATTTTTCCTCATATCCAGAGACAAAAATTCATTACTGTCGTTTCAGAGCAAGAGAGCTTGGCTAACCTGGTTATGGTCATACCTGGCTTATTTAAGAAGCTGAACTGACTTTTAATTAAGTTAAGGTAGTTAACTTGCTCACAAAGGCAAGAGCAGACAAGCATTCTGATGTTCTGAAATTAAGCTTTTTATTCCTTTTTTATTAACCTGAGCTGTGTGCAACCAAAGCACTAGGAGAAAGTGCTAAAAAGACATGGATTTCCCCATTTATTAAAAATTATTCCAATGGCTGTATTCACTCAAATGCCATAGTAATACAGGAAAGGCTGAGATGTCAAGAATGCTGACATTTCTTTTTCCCTCATGTCTGATCCCTCAGGTGATTTCTTTCATAATGGTGCCATATATAGAGTCCCTTATACACATTTTCTTTATTAACATAAGCACCAGCTAGTTTGTGTTCACAGACTTTAGTAAATGCAGAGTACCCACAAAAATTGCACAGAAATTTGCAAACTGTTAATTGCAAAACAGTATCAATTATATTTAGCAAGTTTGAAAAATTTTCCCTCTGAAAAATCAGGGGGGCAACAGTGATGATCTGAAACATATTTTTACTATTTACTTGTAGAAAATATTTATGCTGCATATCAATAAGTTTAAAAGCCTGGAAATCTGTATTTAAAACAATCATTTTAAAAAAAGCAAACTTTGAACCTATTTTAATAGCAAGAAAAAAATAAGACTAGTAACAGAATAACAAACTGAAAGGGATCTGTTTGAGAAGATAAAAGGAGAATATTTGGTCAAGGTCTCTTCCCTCAGCTGAATGCTTGACCCAACTGAGGCAGGGCTGCATATTTTGTCTGTTTTGCTGTTTTTCAGAGCAAAATAAGTTGAAATTTCACATCATTTTAATGAATTTTAAATACCAGAGCCAGTTTTTAACCTTCAAACAGTACCCAAGGACCCTGTTACCCAAGTAAACACACGCAAAATCACCCTGGAAGGTTTCACAGGAGACCTCAGCAGTCCCTTTTTCCCACCACAGACAACAGGGCTGCAGTTGTGCAAGCCACAAACCCCAATATACCACTTGGGTAAAGTATTCTTTCTGAGTTCTAGATTTCAACCTCTGTTTTGGAGTTGCCACACTTTTTGAGCACATCAGTTCTATACCTCAGGGGAAACAGCATAATTACAGGCACTAAAATATATGTGCTTCATAGTTTGTTCCCAGTGGAAACTGCCTATTAGCTTTGAGAGTCTAAAAATAACCAGGCTGTAAAAATTTGAACCTTTTTTTTTTCACAGAGCATTAAACCAAGTCCCCATTACTTTATACTCTTTCTAAACTGATTTTAAATATCAGCTGGCTTTCAGTGGCCTCACATCTTGCACTGGCTATAGAATGCAAAATCAAGTGTATATCAAGTGATCCCTAAATTTCACATGTATCCTGTATTGTCATTTTATGCGTCTCAAAGAAGCCACTTGGCTTCACTGAATTGCAACAGACATCAATGTCTAAATTTTGTAACACACCATAACAAGTTTTGTGAACCTAATACAGATGAGATTTTCAGTTACAGTGTGATTCTGGAGGACATCTTTATCTGGTTTTGTCTGTGATAACAATTCTGTGGAGCCTTTTGGTGCCTGAACGTGGCACTTTGTGGCAGATACCACAACACAGCATTCTCACCTGGTGATTACTGCTCTTCAGCACATAAAAATGCCAGCATGAACTGTTGTAAACAAACTTTAACCCACTGAGGGGAAAAAAAAGACAATTGAATAGAGCATTCTGGAAAAAATATGTCTTAAAAATAGTTGAAACCAGGTATTAAATTCATTAGTGGAGTAGGGAACATAACAAAAATGTCCCCAATTGTAATACATTCAAAAATTCATAACCTGACATTTTGCATGCAATCTTTAATGTTCAAACAGTAACAATGGCTACTTTTAGAGTTACAAAACTTAAGACTTCCAGTGGAGAGACACTGCAAGAGTTGACATGTAGAAGCATATTTCTCCCAAAAGCCAAAAAAATTTTAAACAAGGACCACAAATACCTGGCCACTTGCATATCTCTACAGAAGTACAATGCCATTCAGATTCTTTCACAAATATGTCAGTTTTAGTGTTTCAGGAACAAATCAATACTTGAAGAGAAAGAGAAGTAGAAAAGAGAAGAATTCAAGAAAGATGGGTGGTGACAGAAGTCCTTGTCTTGTGTGTACAGGTGCAGAAGTTTGTAAAGATTTAAAGCTGATATAAAAACCTCATACGAAACCAGGATATTTTTATGATCAGAAGTCTGCTTTACAATCAGGTTGATGAACAGTAAATATGCAACAGTTGTCTTGGGTTGCAATGCAAGATATAACCAAAAGTATGTATTATATTACCATCTGTTAAAACCAGATGTGGCAGTGTTCTTTATTTCTTCCATGACTCATCCCTCATAACTGGGGGATATCTTCCATTAATAGGCCAGCTGTTAAAACTGGGTGGTGCAGTGCTCTTTATCTCTTCCACAACCCATCCTCCCACCAGTGGGATATCTTCTGTTAATGGGCCACTGAGACTGATAAAATTACATCATCCCATTGGGAGATGCTCCACCCAGGGGGAGGAGACAAGCATTCCTACCTGGATAGAATCTGAGACAGAGGAAGACTGGACCCATCTACACCACTGCACCTCTAGGTGAAAACTACACCTTTCTACAGGATCATCGCTTCAACAGAACCACATCTGTCACTCCAGGAGGACTGCAACCACATTTTAATCAGACTGCCACCAACACACTGACCAACAGGGTGTCAGGTTGTATTCTGACTCTGTCAGTGGGTTGGTTTTTTTTGTTAATTTCTTTTATACTACTGCATTTTTATTTTAATTTCTTTAGTAAAGAACTACTATTCCTATTCCCATATCTTTGCCTGAGAGCACCTTGATTTCAAGATTATAATAATATGGAGAAGGGAGTGGTTTACTTTTTTTTTTTCCATTTCAATGGAGGTTTTTGCCTTCCTTAGCAGATGCCTGTCTTTTCAAACCAAAACAGTCCAGAAGCTGGCGGGGCAATCACAACACCAGGTGTTCCCTGCCCTACTGGTAATCAAGGTGCCCAGAGTGTAAATACTTGCTACCTTCACCACAGGTGTGATAATCCTACAGTGCTATGTGCCATCTTTTATGGCACCATGCTATTTAAGCCCCTCAAAGGTTAATTCTTAGCTGGCTGAAAGATAGAGAAAGGAACAAAGAAAATCTCACTGCACTAAGAAATTCTCTTGGGATGAGATCTGCAAGACCTGAGAGAGGCTGCAGGACAGAGGGGACAGATATGAGGAGGAGGGAACCACCACAATTCACAAGGAATGTACAGCATTATGTCTTGAACCCACTTCATTTTCAAGCAGAATTATCTTACACACCTGAAGTTTCCATTTCCTTAGCCTGTCTTTCTGTGCAGGAGGGTAACTTGGCCCCAGTACATACATCAGTTGGCTCCTAGACTTGACAGGCTACCCAGAATGTAAAGCCTGTTTCAGTCTTACTTGGATACAACCTAGGCAGTTATACTTAGCATGCAAACTCAAAAAAAAAGTAATTTAGCCATTCTAAAGACACACATTCAACCTTGCTATGTGCTCAATCTTTTACTAATGTAGGTGACTGGTTTCACTAAAACCACTGCTTTAAAAAAAAGTGTACTGAAAATATGTGAGAATTTAAGTGCTCATGAAAAAATATCTTCCATATCTGGAGACTGAACTCTTTTGCCTCCAGAATTACAGCAGGGACAGCAGAGGTGATGGTAGCACAGATTCATCCCTGCCAGCCCAACCTTATGTCTAAACCAGCCCTCTCTGCAAGCCCTGCTGAGGCTGTAACCCAGTGAAGTCTAGGAAGAATCAGATTAGTTTCCCACCTTTGACCACATTGCTAAGGAACAATACTAAGGTAACAAATCTCACAAAACTGCAGGACAGCTGTCAAATGTCACTAAGTTTTGGTTACTCTTATGCTGGACATACTAATGACTGTTATGCAATGACTCAGGCATGTCTGAGAGGTGCTAGGCTTGCCTGCAGGCCATTTATTGCATGGATAGGACAATAAGTTCCTGTGGTTAGCTAAAGGGAGAACCTCCAAAATATTAAAACAAACTTTTGGGATTTTACAATATATACAAGAGTCCTCTACATAAAATACACATTGGTCAGATTTTATTTACTATGTTCTTTAGTAAAAAAATCCACAAGGACAGAGGTGGGGGCTGATCCAGGCAGAAGTTTGTCATTAAATAAATGCAGATAAACCAACAACTGAAGAAGACCGACAGAAACAAAACCAAAATCAGTACTGCTGTTCTCTGCAAATCTGCAGGCTAAGACTGCTCCAGTTCAGGCTAGCAAAGTCCAAACACAAGTTTGTGAATAAGGGTATGCACCTTTTACTTTTCAAGATAGCACCCACGTGTTTTGGAGGGGAGAGGATCAGATAAAGAGCACATCTGTCTCACAAGAGGCACCTGCACTGTGGTCCTGCCAGGAGGATTTCACCTCCCATTCTCTCTGCTGCAGTATCTTTGTGAGAAAACATAAAGAACAAACGTGAGCAAAACCAGTCCTCAGAAGATCTTGCACTCATTAATGGAGAAGAGCTTCCGCCTGTTCTGCCTTTTGGCTTGATTGACCGCTGTCCGCACGGCATATTCAAACACCTGCTGCACCCCCCTGTTGCTGAGGGCAGAGCACTCCAAGTAGCCTTTGGCTCGCACGTCCTGGGCAAGCCGCTTTCCATCCATGGGGCTGATACAGGAGGAACCGTAGGGACCTGCGTCACGCTGGTCAGTCTGAGTGGCCACCACCAAAACGGGGATGCGGGGCAGATGGCTGCGGATCTCACTGATCCATTTGTTCCTCAGGTTCAGAAAGGAATTGTGGTTTGCTACTGAGTAGCACATTAATACCACATCTGCCTGTTGGTAGGAGAGAGGGCGAATGCCTTTAAAGGCATCACTGCCAGATGTGTCCCAAAGACCCAAGCTAATCTGTACACCATCCATGAAGACATCCACTCCGGTGTTTTCATATACGGTGGGTCTGTAGTCATCTGGAAAAGTCTCAGAGGTGAAACGTACCAAGAGAGATGTTTTCCCAACCGCAGAATCTCCCACCAGAACACACTTGATTGAATCCAGCATTTTATTAACCTCCAAGGCCAAGAGTGCAGTCTCTGTGCAGCAGGAGTGGGATGGAGAGATGCAGTGGTGTTAGAGGCCTTCTATATACCTTCCATTTAGTGAGAAATCGTCCAAACCTCTTTACTTCTTATGACTTGATTCCGTCACTTGAGACTAAAATTTCATCTTCTCCCACATGACTCTATCGGTTTTAAATCTTCAGTGAGTCAAATGACATTTCTGGAAGGGTAAAAATAAAATGTAATGTTTATAATCCACAGAGAACAAACCATTCCTCATCAAGATAAAGATGCCTGGACATGTCTTTATACAGGCATGACAAGTATCCCTTACAGAGGATGATGAACTTTTCCATTTCCTCCCAGCCAGCTGTCTGCACAACAGCCATTCTCATAAATAACTTTCTTGCTGCTCCACAGGGGCTAACAGTCTTATCACTATTGCCATTTTCCACTGACACGAGCTATTTTTTCCCTCCAATTGTCTAAAGACTAATGAAATTAATTTAACTTTGGTATAACTGCTACTAATACGCTGTGAGACATTCCTTGCTTCCAATTTTCACCAAGTCTGACAGAATCCTGAATCCTTAAATGATCAGTTCAGATTCCCCTGAAAATGTACCCACACTCTCTAGAGGTAGTCAGGAGGAAAAAAAAGCTCTTTGCTAGACAGTTTGACTATTTAAACAATCCTATATGGAATGTTAGCACAGAACCATTTGTGACAATGAGGAAGCAAAGACTTCAGGTGTGAATCTCAAGTCACATCCTGAACAATTTTCGAAAGCAATGAAGGATTCACAGCAAAAATACCCAAAAAGAGGCTCATTTTATTTTTATGAATTGCTTTCAACAATCAAGAAGCACAAGCCAAAGAAAGCCCCACTACTGATGCCTGCCCCAGTCAAAATTTCATTTGAAGGGGCTATAACTGTCCTGGCATTTACTCCTATAAAACTGAACTAAGAGTAATCTTCAGAGTATGTAATTGCTTTTGAGCTCCTGCCAGCATTCAGTCAAATTTTCCTATTTTGAAAGCATTTGTTTCTTCCTCACTAGCTGTGTGAAAGATTCACTGCTCACACAGGGTGACACACAAGATGCTCCAAAAATCACTAACGGCAAAACTGAAGACAAATTAGTTCTGATGAACAAGAGTAATTAAAAAGAAAGTATCACTGCATAATTTCAAAATGTCATGTGTTTTTTACATAAATAATATATTTCTGTTTCCCTCATATATGTAGACAGCCATCACAGCTGAAGGCTATTTGCACAGAAATGAATGATGGCCACAAAGGGCATATACTGTATTTTACTGTAACGCTCTCCACTTTCAGTACCCTAACACACCACCCCTCTCCCCCTTTATTTCTAGGACACTCGAAGCTTTGGCTTACTCCATAGACAGTGAAAAACAAGGGAAAAGTGCTAGATGAGCTTAGAGAGAACATTTTACAGGCACCAACAACTGCTATTGGCCCTGCTTTCATTTTGTATTGAGGCCATGCCCTACCTCCTCTTGTGCTGCTGGCACACCTGCATCTCTCCCAGCAGATGCCTCGGCTGAAGGAAGATGTGTGGCCGGAGCAGGTTGCTTTATAGAGGTGGCACCAGCTCTGGGGGCTGTCCCTGTGTGTACTGGAGTTACGGTATCTACAGGAGTCATTGCAACAGACGGTGCTTCCTGGCCTAGCAGCGAGACCGTGCTCTCACCACCGCCACTCGCTTCTAGGAAGTGGGATAGAGGCTGAGACTGCTTCACGACATTCCTGGCTGCCGGGAAACAGGCTGCTTTGTGAATTTAAGTTCTAGTGGCAGCAGATGAAAATTTGCTTTTAGTGATTCATTGGGTCTAAGTCCACTCTCTCGCCTCCTCTGTTCTCCAAACAAGCTCTCAAGGGAATTAAACAAGACATTTACAAAACACATCTATGAAAAATTCAAAAAGCATTATGTAGGATAAACATTCAAATTGCTTATACTAATCATAATCTCTCTTTCAGAGTATTCTACTTCAAAATTGGGTCAGCAATATAGTTTGAAACACCTCAATTTCACCACAAGACAGTAGTGTCCTATTAAGACAAAGTTGCATATTCTCAGGATAAAGTTTCCAAGTACCAAGCATTCTTTTCAGAACAAACAATTCTTTGGTATAAGTAGCCCTCAGTGCCTTCAGGTTTATTATTTTGTGCACATTGGAATGTGGGGGAAAATAAGGATGCCCAAAGCATGACTTTTGCAATTTCATAAATGCCAAAACAGAGAAAGACAGACAAAAGGATTGTTCTGGCACTCAACTTGTTGATTACCAGGTCAAATTATACTGATTATTCTGAAAGAAAATATAAAAATTATCAAAACCTGAAAGAGATATTGAGGACTAGTGAATGACTATTTGACAGACAATAACAGAAGCTGAAATATTCCACTCTGACAGTGCAGAATTGTTTTTAAAGAAAATGATATTGGTCTGCATTCCATCAATGAATAATAAAAAAAACCCCTGGTATATAACAAGGTCCATATTGTGATTCTGTGGACAAATTGCCCTCAGTGGCCCTGATCTTGCATTTGTTCACAACAATTCATTTTTCTCCACATATAATCGGGACTACATATGTGCATACCGAAGTATTAGGCACATAGCTGGTCCTCGTCGCAGCCTCAGGGTAAGAGCAGCATTAGTGTACTAAAATAATTACACAAGTTCATCTGACTGGACAGAAAATGCTTGATTAAACATCAACAAAAAGCATCAACTGTCCTTTAAAGAACAGTACTTTAAAGTGTCCTTTAAGGCAGTACTGGGCACCTCTGTGCCTCAGTATACAACCAGTTTTATAAATACTTGCAAAAGTTTTTGTCCCTTTCTCTCATATTCTGCTTTGGTCTGACAGCACAGTGTGCTACAACCATTACAGAAAACCTTCTGATCACAGATCAGAGATGGACTCTAAGCTGCTGAGGATTTTTTTTTTTCTCCAACACTGATTTTCAAAAATTTACCAACTTTATTAAGATCATTTTTTATATGGAATTCAATATATAAATCTGTATCTTCTCTTATGCTTTTTTTGGTTTATGCTTTCATCACTCAATAGAAGATATTATTTGAATAAGGTAAGACCTCTCATAAAACCATTAGGTATAAGAATGCATGTCTTATTCTCGTGTGGTCATGCTGAGTAGTGATCTTTAGTAAATTTCAGGTTTTGTTCCCTCTGTCTTTGGAATACAGGCACAAGTGTGTGGTTACAGAGACCTTGAACTTCACTGATGATGTGAGCACAAGAAGCCCTACAGCAGTTGCTCTTTGGCAGTGTCTGACCTGCACCTCAGCAATCTCATGCAGGTAAAATGTCTACACTTGATCGTGGCTGAATACGATACGGAGAAGGCGAGTGCAGCTGCCAACCCGCAATGGGACGGGATGAAATGTAGAGCACAGCAGCACCGAGCTCTTTGCATGTAGAGGATTCAAGTGAATGTATGTCCCTTGAATAATCAATCTGGTGTCTGTTCAAAGAGCTTTACCAACAAAGGAAAGCAGGACTACTGTAACAAAAGGGTTAAGTCTATCAACTGAACAAAATGGGATTTTCCTTTATGCCAAAAAAATCTCTGGCATCTACTATAAGATCATTGTGAGCATGACTCACTACGGCTAAACATCTCCAGGGGATAGACAGCATCTTATGATAGGGAAAAAAACAAAACAGTCGGGAACTTCTAATTTCAAAACCTATCTTAGATACTGATAGTGCACACTCAGGTAGGTTGGAATTTCAATAGAATTACCTCATACATAAACAAACCATGCAGGCAAACAACCAGCTTTTTAGATCAGACAGGCACAAAATGCTTCAGAGAGTTAAAGCAGTTAACATGCTAACTATTACTGCTATTATCCACTTCCTACCTCAATTACATCTCAGTGGAGTTCCTGTTTGTGTCAGCATAACAGCAGATTAAATTTTCAGTTTAAGCACTGTGTATGCTAGCTCTTGAAGAGACTTGACATGGCAAGGAAATTAAAATATTTATACTAATAGAGAAGGTTGAAAACCACAGGAGAGGCTTCCACTAGCTGTGCAATTCTTAAATGTACACTCTTTGCCTACCTACTCTACTCTTGTAAGTAACACCTCACACAGAGGTAGGTGGGGGTCTGCAAAACTGTGCCTACAGTTCTTTTCCAGTGTGCTGATTGTAGCCACTGCTCCTTCCAATTGCACCACAGATATGTAAGAACTGTTCCCACATCCCTTAGTTAGATGCCCTCGAGGAGAGGAAGGAGGCACAAAGACTACCCTCACTGACCAGAACAGTGTGCAGCTTTACACCTTCACCTCCATGGGCACAGTGGGCACTGCACAGCACGGACATGGCCTGAGAACAATTCCTGCAAGCAAGCAGAAGGAGAGGGAGGAGGAAGGCTGGGAGGAATCCAGACAGGGCAGAGACACAGTTGCCTGATAAATGACAGCAGCCAGAAGATGCAGCCCATGTGACACAGAAACCATGGCTGCTGTGACTCCAGTCTGGACACTCTGCTAGGTCACCAGGTTGTCAAGGTCACACTACCTGGTTTTCAGCTCTGGGGATGAGATGAGCTTGCTCCATTCAGATACAAACTTCCAGACTGGTTCCACAGCACAGGTCTCCTGAAAACGAATCCATCAGCTGCAGTCCATCTGGAGACTGCTTCTGGTCTGCAGGCAAATGGCCCCTTGCTGCACGTGTCATACATTCATTAACCTGATTCTCTGACATCTGCATTACCTGCCTCCTGGTTTTTTAACTCCTTTCACGGCAACTTTAATCTATAGCCCTGTCTTGCCAATCAGCCTCCCTACACCTCAGAGGGTGTCAGGGTTTCAGTCCATAGTGGCATTCAGTGTTGGTACCACTGCCATGAAGGAGAACTAGCTCACAGCCTGTACCTTTGCAAGGTGCTGCATCTTTTCCCTAAACTCCGCCAAAAGATCGCCATTCAACTCATTCACTTCCTAAGCTGGCTACCACAGAGGCCATTGCTATTCTTCAGTTTAAGAGCAAGATGGCAGGTTACTCACTGGCAGAATAATTCAGCTGTCTGATATAATACTGACAGATTAATTGCCAGATTTTCTTTCAAGGTGCTTTTATATTTCAAAGAATTGGAAGGGTGCTTGGAAACCGGGATGGGAGCTTTTATACATGTATTTTATCTTAAATACAACCATTTCTCAATGCCTTTCTAAAGTTAGAAAAGCAAGCAACATGCTATGAACCCGTATTTTCAAAGCCAGAATGTCTTGCCGTCTCAAAAACAATCTCCTTCCAGAATTTAAAAAAAATAAGTTTTCAGACATAAAATCTTGGAAATTTTTATTTTACTCCCTTAATCACAAAACTGAAATCCTGTTCCTGTTTTCAAATTTCAGTGTTTTGTTTTGAAAAAAATAGAAAACTAAATTTTTGGTTTAATTTCTAATTTATGAAATTTCTAGAAAATAGAGAGGAGCCTTTGCAAAAAATCACTTCTGGATCAAGACAACATCTGAAAACACCTTCATTTCTTTCTCTGGCAGTTTTAACCACTGCAAATGAAGAGAAAGATTTATGATCAAATACTTGGAAATCTTGTCCACTTTATTATTAGCAAGGGAACTCACGTTACGAGATTTAAAGGAAATTCCCTTATACTGAGAATGTGAAATCTTGATATAAAATTTGCAAGATTAAATGAGATGTGAAGTCCTAGCAAAGAGATGAAGACTTTCTGTGTAACAAAATATACTTATTTACCCACATGCTTACACATTGCACATACGCATAAAACTGCTTAATGAGCTATCCTAAATAAAAAAAAGTCAACTTCTTTAGTAATAGTATCTATAATAATATATATAAGCAATGGATAATGATATGTCTAAAGATCTATTCAATTAACTACAGTTGCTGAGAAAAACTATATAACTCTCATTCTAATTATAGAATTAGAAAAAATAAATATTTATTTTATCTTCAAGAACCTTCTTCCTGTGGCTAATCACACCTTGATTCATTAATTTACAAATAAGCACAAATTATTAGAACCACTCCAAAAATTAACAAAAAGCCTGTAAGACTCTGATGTACTGATCCAAGATACTAAATCTCTAAATAGAACTCAATGAAATCCAGCAATACCAAGTACCCACTTAAAGATTCAAGCCATTATGAAGTAATTTTTCTCCATGTTTATGGAACGACACAGTAAATTTCAAACTATGTGGCATTCGTGGTATTATGGGTCACTTTCAAAAGGGATCCATTTTCAGTGTAGATGTTCTCCGCAAATTAAAATTGAGGTAAATTAAGTGAGGACCAGCTCATAAACCATTCTCAGTCTGGTCCAGTACCCTCAAAGTCACCAGAACTGGAGCAGCATGTCATGCCTGAAGTTAGGAAAGCCTAGTGCTGTCCTTCTGCAGGATACCGGGTATGTCACCTCCTTTTCCCACCCTTCTCTATACTAATTCTTCTCCTCTGTGCTTGAACAGAATAAATTTTTGAGTTTCACTACAGACACAACTGCACATGGAGCAGCTGGTGTGCAAATGTCACATGTGTGTACGATCGAGCACCGAAGTTCATTAACCATCTGTCCGTCTGCCTTCCCTCATAGCTGCTGTTTCTGTACACACACACATACATACATATAATATATATGTACACACATATTCACCACCGACACAGAACTGCTGCTGGGAATATTCCCCAGATGGGAATACAGATACGCTTGCAGATAAACATGGATAAAGTGCTGTGTGCTGACTCCAGTGCTATCACACAAAACTATGAATACTTTTTTCCACCTGAATGACTTAAAGGTCAAAAGCAAATTTTTGGCAAGTCTAACTGCACTGTAGCCAAACTGAAATATAAAAAACATTAATTGATAATTAAATACATTGATAATATATTGATAATATTAAATTGATAGTATTAAATTGATAAATATAAATAATATTAAATAAATATTGATAATATTAAATAAATTATTATTATATTTAAGTAATTTACTTTAATCAGACTACTGTGTGTGTAGAATTATTGACATGTAGAAATGTTTGCATGTTTGGGCCTCAAACCACTTCAAATTTTTCATGCCATATCCTCTTTCAACACAGTTCAATTTCATGAAATTTGAGACAAATCAAAAAGCCATTTACAACACATTTTTGTAGGATTTTTTTTTTTTTCAGTTTTATCTCTTAAAAATCTCCCCAGATTTTTTTGGCTGTTGAAATATTCTCTGGCTGTTGAAGCAGTCTTCTATTTACAACCTTCAACAGTTATTGTGTTTTCTTTCCAGTAAGCCTAACCCTACCCCTATTTCTGCTTATTTTTTTTTACCATCCACAGACATGGGCATAATCATCACAAAGTACCCGTTTCTCTTTCATACACAACTAACATTTCATAGTTTTAAATAATCATTTGTAATTTCTCAGAGAATGATGCATTATTTGCTAAACTGGATGCACAAAAGTGTATATGCACATATATAGAGACAAAAACACTGTAAATAAATCAGTGCATATTTAAAATCTGTTTCAGTAATGAATCAATACATCCATTTACAAAAAAAAATCACATCCATATGTACATGCATGTATATATGTCCATACACACACACATATATATACATGGACATGTGATATTAATTCATTGCAAAAGATGTTGCTGCCAACTGCTATAGAAAACAACATATTGTGGGCAAGATATCTTACCATCATTTGAAAACCTACCTATTTTGCATCAAATTGATGCATTATTGAAATGACCACTGTCTACATACAGGTACATATGTATTCATATACACATGAGCAGAGATTACTGCTGTGCTAAATGGAGATTTGAAACAACCTATGTATCTAATTGATAGAATTTTACATATAAAATTACATAGTCACCCATAGGAAACTATTATATTTCTGCTGCGTATGCAGTCATTACATTTATTAGACATATCTTCACAATATGTTACAGTGACTTATTATTAAGGAGATGCATGGATTTATATTAAATTCCGCAGATGTGTAACATGATAAATTGTTAAAACAAACTCCATACACACACTTGCATTTGCAGGCTGACTTCTGTGTGTTTTGTCTCTAACCTGGGGTAGGACTGCACTTGATCTTCCTTACTGGCTCCCTTAAATGCTGTGAAGTAATAAACAGTAACAGTACAGCTAAAAGGTAATACATGAATGATACAGGCGATAAAACATGCTTCTCAGTGTCAAAAGGTCTTTTAAAATTGCCCTACCATTTCTCCATTTTCCTCAATGGATCCCTTGCAAGATCTCCAAGTTTGCTTTCGGAAGTCTCTTCAGGTTTAACTTTGCTCTGATTTTATAAAACATAGTACAAAATAAGGAGATTCTCAAGTCTAGATTGTCTCCCCCTAATAGCAGCGGAAGAAGAAGGAGGTTCTCCATGTTCGTTATGTATTTGCACAGGTTTGATTTCAGTGGGAGGTAAAGGCAGAGGAGGAAAATGTTAGAACAGAATTAGCCAGCGTTCCATGGAAGATTATTTTGGTATATTTTGTGATAAGAATAAAGTGTCAGATGTACAGGTGTTTTGAGTAGTAATAATGTTATTGCAGTTGATTGAACAATTCAAAATAATGACCTCTCGATAAAACATAATTATTTGTTTTTAATTTAGGAAGAACTCACATTTACTGCATGTCACTGTTCATTTTGCTGTGATGAATATTAAAATTCTGACATTAATGAGCAAAGCTAGCAAAGGAAGCAATAATAATTTGGTTGGATATTTATTTTATAACACAGAAACTCCCTGATAGTTTTAGTTTTTTCCCCTTAGGATTGCCAGCAACAAACACCTTTTTCTTGTCTCTGTATATATCAGTGTTTAAAATCATAGTCTAGACTTCACATAAAAAAATATAAATCATCATCACATAAAATCGTGTTTCTAGATTTTCACAGCAGGAAACTGCCATCTTTAATATCATTCTTAAATTTTGTGTGCACATATGTACATAAAAACGTTAAAAATTTGAAGAGCTTGCATAGAAATAATTTCAATTACTTTTCAAGTAGCAGGTGTGATATAAAACATACAATTATCATAACTTCTCCTGTATTTCTTGATTTATGATTTTTATCTTTTTGATTTGTTCTATAAATTTTTAAAAAGGAGTTGCCTTCAACAATCTATGCCATGACTTAGTATTCATGCACTGAATCCAGCACACAGATAAAATAAGAGATAATATGTATTTACAATACAAGCAGGATTTTTTTTTTCTTACCATGCAGCTTTTCTAGAATTCCTTAATTGAAGCAGATAAAATTAGATAAAATAAATGGGCATGCATACTTGTCTTCATCAAACTGCCTACGTTCCATGCATAGTTATGATTAAGGTTTGGTTTTTTTCTTTTTTTTCTGGAATTAGCACAAGTTATACCTGGTAGCTCAGATTTTATATTGATTTATATCTTACACCAACAATATGCCGGAACAGAATATATATTTTAGTGCCAGTTTTCCTTTACTTTTCTCTGATTCCATTACAACCTTCATCTCTTGCTGTCTTCAAATAAAACATATAGTACTGCAGACAGCAGCAGGTCATGTGGAATTGGTTAAGAGGAGAAAAGACTCTACAACCAAAAGTAATACATAAATCCTTCTCACTCATTCTTCAGCTGAGTATTTTGAGAATTTCATATATTTATAGCTGACATCTACTTGGCTTTCAGTCAGTTTAAAGATCATGTAAATCCCCATGCTATGGCAAATCTTAATGAAGAGTTCTTCAGTGGGAAGCATAGAAAATTTTCCTTGATTTTCTTGATTTTTACATATTTTGAATAAAAATGATCACACATATGAAAAGAGAGATATTTTAGGAGAAGATGTTTGAACATTATGAGAACATTTCCCATGCTTTATTTTTGAATCCTGATGGACTTGATTCAAATTCAGAGGTATTTTACCCAACAGCCTTTCAACCAGAATTAAAACTCAACTGAAAGAGATGGGAATTTAAAATCTTGCATTTAAATTGATGGAAACTACAGAAATTATATGAAAGGTTTTTATGGCAGCTATTTCATAATCTATTTTTATAGTGAGAAAAACAAAAGCTCACAGACAACTAAATAATTAATAGATTAAGTAATAGATATTTGAGTATATCAGTAGCTCAGTAACTTCAAACTCCAAAGTCTTTACCAGTTTTTAAGCACAGTCATTTGATTGAAAAAAAAGGCAAGCTGAAGGCTGTGTGTCCACTGGCATGCTTATCAGTGAAAGGAAA